AGCCCCATATTCGACTTCCAGTCAGGATCGTAGTGGCGTTTGATTACATATGCGGCCTACACAACGACTTCTAGGGGGTAGCCGACGCACAAGCCAGTGCTTTATACTCCCAGACAAATCTGATATATCCTCCCAGACGAGTGTGGTACCAGTTAACCCAGGAAGGAAGAAAGGAAGGATTTGCTGGCCTGGGCGAGAATAGGCCTGGGAACCGAACTCCGAATTACGTTTGTGTGGTAGTGCACCATTTGGCACTATACCCTATTTAGCCCTTACCTGAAATGACTGAGGACCTTATTTTTACAATATTTCTACAATTTGATGGAGGGGGAAGGGGTGCAAATAAAGTACATCTACATCCTACTCGATGATCCATGTATTGGTTCGATATTATTGTTTATCGAATTTCTATACAATAAATTCTATTGAAACCATCTATTTAAATCTTTTCTACAGTATTCTGTCAAATTTTCATAAAATGCCATAAAATTCAATCGGACAAGTACAATCACACATTCCGAATGTAAGTGATAACAGAGGTAATGAAGTGAAATCATTTGGTTTCTTCGAACAGGGCAGCAATCTCCTTGAACGCTGTCGTCAGGTGACTTCGGAATCGGGCCGAATCCTGAAATGCTCATAAAATTGTCTCGCAGCTAGAAATATGTACAGTATTCGTCCAACGTACCGTATTCTCAGCTGATTTATAGCTGCTTATATGAGCACAGATCATGTGATTACCTCCAAATCGATAGCACACACCTATAAGGGTTAGGGTAAATCAGAATCTGATGGGAAAAGTCTTTTCCCGGTGTTTTCAGAACAGTAAGGCCCTATCGAGGAGAAGTCGAAAGGAACGCATGGACACGCCCGAGTCATTTCCGTAAGGCTATGGCCGTTGCTGATCACCGTAGACAAAGATTCTGCTCTTACCGTAGCCATTCTTCGCAACTGCTCCAAAACAAGCGCCACTCCACGTCCTCCAGGGCTCCGTGTCCTCATCTATTTGGTTGGTCACATTGGGTACCTATAAGGGAAGATGATTCTATGATAAGTTTCTATCCTAAGCAAAATTACTGTAACCTACACCGCCTATTTTGAAGGGACCTCTCCAGTCCCTTCAACCTGTCTTAAACCTTACACACCCCATTACCCAAATAAAAGCCTTGAACTTGAATAGAGCCATGTTCCGCAATCGTACCTGCCCTCTAAGTTTGGAAATGTTAGGATTCTGGAGTTGGTAACAGAAACCGCCATCTAGTTGACAGCATTATTTTGATGAGGTGACCGATATGGCACATCCTGACACATACCAGAGGAGTACTGTCTTGTAGGGCAAATACTCACATGTGATGTGGATAAAAGCCATGGTTGCGAGATATAATGATCCAGGAACGGACTGGAAGTGTTCGTTCCCTTGGAGAGGACATACAGGACGAACAGATGCCGATCAACTCCACGGCCTACCTGTAAATAGGCTTTTCTTTTCGTATAAGTACTTTTTTATTTTAAATTTAGCTTCTTCCTAGGACTGTTCTCAGGGGAAGAGCTCTGAGAAATCATAACTACCACGCAGATTTTATGCTCAGGTTCATGAAAGACAGATCGTAGGTGTTCTACTGGAAGTCGTAACTTGTAAACGTAGCCGAAATCGTAAGTTCTGATTCGATCCTCACTCTGAGGATAACCACTTTTTAGAATTATAAAACTACTTCCCGATGTGGGTAATTGAAGCTAAAGACGAAACTCTATTAAAAAAGACAGAGGTGCGTCTTTTGATTCATCCCTATCAAACTCTACATTGCACTTTTTCTCTTTCTACTGATCTACAGGAACCCTACTACGAATTCTCAGACCCCCCCTGCAAACTCTCAGATTGAAAATTATCACTCTATAGAATCTGTGGAGGAAGCATTTTCAGTCCTTAGAATTTTTAATGACATTTGAGCGCGTGGCGCAGAAATAGATGGCCTTATTAAAAAGGCCTTGAAAGTCCCCTTGCAAGAACCACATATGCCATCAGAACAGGCTTTCTACCGTCTCATGTCTGTTTCTGACACTGCAGTGACTTCGCAGTTTCTTGCAATTCATTGAAAATTAATTGTAAGCGAAATGTCAAGCTCACCATAGCCTCCTTGTTATTGAATGTATGAGCTGCGCATGCCTTCCGTAACTTCTCGATCTTTTCTTCCCTCTAAAAGTAAACTTACGGTGGATATAAAGTAGTTTGAAGAGCAGGAACTCACGAACCGTGGCATTGGCATTGATCATGGCGTAAACGAATTCACATGATTCATCGGTGACCGAACGAAGGGTTTCGGTGCGAGAGTTTTTATAGAAACGAACTGATGCCGCTTCATAGGTGAGCACGAAGCGGTTTTGATCCTGTAACAGGACCGACTGTAGCTGAGCGGTTCGAAATTTGACAACTTGATTTGCCTACCCTATAGTTCGCTAGCTGAATAGCCATCTGAACGAAGGCATCCGGAGATAGACCACACTTCTTTATATGGCCTTTTCCAAAATCCCTGAAATCATACACTGACGTCTTAAATGTTTACCCATAGGTTAACGTCAAGAAAACTGCTCAGAATGCAAGTCAACTATGAGCGAGTCCAGAGAAGAAAAAAGAAGGAAATGAAATTTTTAGTGATTCTAAATTCGATTTTTATTGAAAAATAGTGAAAATTGAAAGAATGCGATCTGAAGTTTTACATTTCGAGAAGATTCTCGTATCAAATGCCAGTCTGGGACGCCCTAACTGATTTCATTTCTAATAGTTTGAAATCCATAATGAAACTTTCTTCAATGTTTATATTGTTTATTTTATCTTTTTTTGTAATTGCTAGCCNTAAAAGTAAGTCAATTACGAGCGCGTCCAGAAAAAAAAGAAGGAAATGAAATGTTTATCTAATTTCGATTTTTATTAAAAAATAGTGAAAATTGAATGAAAGTGATCTGATTTATTTCATTTCGAGATAATTCTTATATTAAATGCCAGTCTGGGACGCCCTAACTGATTTCATTTCTAATAGTTTGAAATCCATAATGAAACTTTCTTCAATGTTTATATTGTTTATTGTATCTTTTTTTGTAATTGCTAGCCCTGATTATCGGAATGAATAACTGAAGTTTCATCGGTGATTTTTACTAATTTTTCATCTTGTTCTTCTACAGGCCATTTTTTTCGCGAATAAATAAGCAAATAAATAACACTCACCTAAACAGCGTAGCTGCGAGGTCCACGTCATCACGTATCTTCGCATATTCCGAATAGCTCCGCTCGATAGCTGAGGCCATCTGAAAAGGCCAGTCCCACTTTTTTGTGCTAAAAACTGTTCCCCTTACGAAAATTTCATTTTAAAATGTATAGTAAAGCCGGAATATGGTTCCCTCAAAAGAAGGTCACAAATAGCAATTTTGAAAACCATATTTTGTAAATGATTTCATAAATTGTATAATATTTCATAAGCGAATTTGGGCCAGAAGGTATAGATGAATTTACAGCTCTCTTCTTTCTCCCTCCATCTCCATTACCCCCTTACCCCACTCCCTCCTTCTTTGTCTTAGTATTCCTATCCCTTACTTCATTCCTCTCTCTCTCCCTTTTTACCCTACCCTTCGTTTTTTCTGGCATCGTATTTTGAGAAATGAGCCAACTAGTAGGGAAGGAGTACATAGAACCGTACTCATTGTGAACTACCCTCCCTTACAGCACTGTCTGCTGATTGTTCCAAAATATGACAGACTGCTGACTGAGTCTTTTAAAGGCACAGTTCACGAAAAAGTGGTTTCGGAGATTTGCACATGGTTTGAATTCGAAGCCCCCTCTGATACCATTTGTGCAGGAATTAGGTCGGAAAACAGTCTGTATAGGCACAATAAGGGCAGGAACAGTGGGGGACGAGAGGCCTCCGCCCCTCGCTAGGTTGACTACGAGTTCAAATTGTCCTTCACCACTTTTGCATTGGAGCAACATTAGTGAAAAATCGATAGGCTGGTTGGCAAATTGCCCACAGACGGTCAGCTGGTCGACCGCCTCGTATTGGGACTACTATTAGGCTGTTTTTCTTGTATTCGACTATATTCTACGCTTTTCTATTCTAATTAATTTTCCTCAGCCGTCGCTAAAAGGTCGAAATTGATTTTGCATAATAAATCAGATTAAATAGCGGTAGGAGAATTAGTTTTGATGAATAAGCCAAAATCAGCTGTTGGTGTGTTGTGTGCAATGGCACACACTGCGTCGCGTTTGTCTGACTCGCCCGAAAAATCCCTTATCGCCGTTTTTTCGCCATTTAGCCCGTCCAACCCCCCTTTTCCCTTGTTTTTTGTGGCTCA